TTGGGGCAAGTGCTGTTAGGCCATGGATGGCGCACGGAATGGGTGGGTGGCCAAAACCACGCCCTGGCGTCTATGTCTAACCAGTGGCGATGGTTTTACACACCACACCCGATACTCATCTCGAGTCTGAGTCGACCTAGGGGAGGACCCACGACTGATTCAGGTACTGGTCACTGGTGGTAGCCGTGAGCGGGAATCTAACTGGGGGAGGGGCGGGGGGGCAGGTTGGTAACGCGGTGCGTTAACCGCTACGCTACGGCTTCCCGCTATTTACGCGCAGATAAAAGATAGACAAAGATCCCCCATATAGCCTGTAACAGACTGTTGGGGCAAGTGTTGTTAGCGAGCACCTATAAAGTCCGGCACGGCAGACGAGGGGGGTGGGTGTCCAACACCACACCCGGCCGTCTTTGTCTCCCCAGTGGCGATGTTTACACAATGCACGAGGTACTCATTTGAGGCTGAGTCGACCAAGGGGAGGACCAGGACCGGTTCAGATATTCGTCACTGGTGTTGTGCTATGAGCCAGAATCGAACTCGGGTCTCCAGGTTCGTAGCGCAGCGCGCTAACCGCTACACTACCGCCCCCCCCCCACACACGTACACACACACACGTACGTACGCAAGTACACACACACACACACAGATCGACACTAACGCCATTTTGGGCTCTAACAACCCGCATTCACTCCTCTAGCACCCGCGTCTCGTTTACAATCCACGGGGCTCCTCCAGCAGCCACCGACTTCGGCCGCGCATCTTAACCCCGGAACGCGTCGGGCTGCCCGCCGTAGTTTGTAGGGTGAGACGCGGGGGGCGGGGAGGAGAGGGGGAGCGTGAGGCAACCGATGCTGTGGGGTGCTCGTCAGTGGCGGTGGATATCGAGTGCGCAGGCATTGCAGCTCCACCAGGGGCCGAGGCGCCGGGCTACGAATGAGAGAGGGGGGGGGGGGGGAATAATTGGACAGGGGGTGCCCCCATTTCATCCCGAGCACCGAGGCCGATGCCAACCCACCCTGCCATGCCACTGCAAGGGCTCGGGGAGTGAAGTGCGCCAACAACATCCACCGAGAACGTACATCGCATTCACTGGCTTCTTGATGTTCATAATAAAATAAAAAAAATAAAACTGGATAAGGGTCCTGTGTGTGTGTGTATATGTGTGTGCCGGTCTTCATAACGGCACTTGCCCCAATAGTCTGCGGAAGCTACACACGGGGGATCTTTGCCTGTGTATGTTGGGAGAGGTGGCGCAATGGTTAGCGCACTGCGCTACGAACCCGGGCTCTACTCGAGTTCGATTCCCGCTCACGGTGAACATCTGCGATGACGAGTTGATACCTGCACCTCGTTTGTCCTGGGCTTCTCCTGGGTGACCTCTCGGCCCTAAATGAGTGCCTGGCGTGCTGTGTGCACCGAAAGTGTAAGAACTCGAGAGACAAAGGCGGCCACGCAAGCGTTGAGCGGCGTTACTGTGCCACGCCACCAATCCCGACTCGTCCGGCGTTCCGCTTTTAATAGGAGCTCGCTAACAGAAACTTGCCCGAAACCAGCCTGCGTAGCTCTACTTACGCGGAAGGATGGAGGTTGCGTGGGTGCTGGGGTGGAGGTGGGGTCTTTGTAATTGCCGAACGTGTGGACGAAGCGAGTCTGTTGTGTGCGTCGGCCTTCGTCTACCCACTGCTGTGTGAAGGTCTCTCGACGCAGTGGTACATGGCTGGAGTACTTCCACTCCATTTCCACTCCATCTCCACCCTGGACGTGCCCCTTGTCTCTCCGCACGCATGCACGCCAGAGGCGTGCATGCGTGCTCGCGGCTGACGATTTGTGCGGAGGAGAAGCGACACGTCTTTTGTCATCTTCTTGTTGTTGCCACAGGACTCCCGGAGAATATTTGGGATGCGAGTTTTTTCTTTATATATGTAAGTAACTATATAACAGATATCACAATTATGAGCGGGGACGCGGAACAAAAAGGGGGAATAGGAATTGTTCCCCACCGCTGTTCGGATGTACGGGACACGCTGTGACGGGATATCTGACATGAGGCAGACAAATGCATGCGTAAGTGATCGAATAGGCGACGTTTCGGGCAATAGCCCTTATTCATATCGCGTAAAATGATCAATATTATAAAAAAGTGAAATCGGCCAAGCATAAACATCATTACTGGGCCGTGTTGTTACAATTGACATGTAACTATTGTACGACAAACCCTTATATCTTACGTACAGCTCGCTATCCGTATACACATAGTTTACATATCACACGAATATATACACCAAGTAGTGTAAACAGCGCGCACATACTTTATATGTACCCAAATGAACGACCACATATCGCAAGGGGGAGCGGTGGCGCATTGGTTAGCGCACTACGGAATGAACCGGGCGATCAAAGATCGATTCCCGGCCACGGCTAACATCGGTAGCGAGTGCTATCTGAACCGATCATGAGTCTCCCTATTCACCACCCCGCTGTGACCAACGTGGTGAAGTATGGTCTAACACCCCCCCCTCACCCCCAACATGACCGATACAACGTGAGAAAGCCTTCAACCAGCAGTGGATTCACAAAAGATGCTGTACGCAACTCTTACGCACATTACACGACAGCCACGCACACACCCCTTACTATCCAAATGCATACAGCCTATATAGCACGTACGGGAGTATAAACGCGTGCTATCACACGTGCATGAATACAAAACAAGCACATATGTATAGGTGTGCACGTGTGTGCTTAGGCGGAGCGGTGGCGCGGTGGTTAGCGCGCCGCGCTACGAACCCGGCGACCCGAGTCACGTCCAACAATCAGAGGCGATTATCTGAACAGGCGCTGCCCCCCCCCCCCTCGTCATGCGATCTGTTCAATATGAGTACTGGGGGAGACAAAGACGGCCGGGCGTGAGGCTGAATCCCTCTCCGCACCACCAGCCGATGCGCCGTACCCCGGGGGGTATTCATAGGTGCTCGCAAAGAGCACCCCCACCCCAACGGTCTATAAATCGATAATAGGATGGGGGGGGGAGAAATCTTTGTCTTCGTATGTTATGTATATACATACATTAAACTCAGCCCTCGCCTGCGTGGCGCTATTGTGAATTCAGCTCTCTGCTTCACTGATCACCCATCCCCCACGACAGACAACACTCCAGCCGACACACACACACGCACGGTGTGTGTGTGCGCGCGCGTGCGCGTGTGAGTCTGTGCGTGAGATTCTTTCTCGACGGCACCTTCACTTACACACCGCGCCGCGATCTTCATAGACCCGTTTGTCATCGTTTTTTTATACAAAATCTAAATTAAGAATTAGACATTTGGCTTGTGCATCGCTCATATTGTCCCTTGCTGCACTGCGATCGCTTGTTTTGCATACATACGTGGCGTGCGTCCATCCACGCACGTGAGACCTAACGCACGCGCGTGTGTACGTGTACGCGGATGCATCGTATGCACATTGCGATGCGCACGCATGTGTGCGCGTGTGTGTGCTGCACGTGTATGCCTGTGGGATGCAGTAGTACAGCGTAAATCTGCGACCCTAGTTCGATTCCGGCTCATAGCACAACACGAGTGACTAATATCTGAACCCGTCCCGCGCCACCTCCCCTATGTTGACTCAGCCTCAAATGAGTACCTGATGCAGTGTGTAAACATCGCCACTGGGGAGACAAAGGCGGCCGGGCGTGGTGCCGCCCACCCACCTCCTCGTGTGCCGTTCCGGCCTTCATAGGTTGCTTGCTCATGGCACTTGCTCTTACAGTCCGTTACAGGCTATACGGGGGGTCTTTGTTTGTGTGTGTGTGTACGTGTGAGCACAAATTATTGTATGGCTGACCATGTCATTGTTCGGTTTGGCCCAGACTTCGCGCTGTGAGGCTATGTTCTCGTGAAATGGCGCTCTGTAAACAGGAGGTGATGTTGCCTGGTGGTGATGATGATTCTGGTGGTGGTGGTGGTGATGATGATGATGATTCTGGTGGTGAGGAGTCCAGTCGCGGCGGCGATCCTCTCAAATATATCTCGATCTTTTGATCGTGATGGCAATCTACGCGCATGCACGTAACCACCCACGTAAACTAACCAGATGATGATGCTGCTGATGATTCCGCTCACACGAAACCAGTCCAGTTAACTAGAAATTATGATGAGCGTGGCGATGGCGATTATGATGATGCCTGTAATGTTCATGATGACTCGCGAATAACCCGCATGTGCTTAGCAGATCATATTAATTGCTTGCTGATGATGATGATGATGCGGAAACTGATTATAATTAAAATGTACGTGTCTATGTACAAACGCACGCACACACTCACATACAACAGCCGAAATACGCCACTAAATGTCGGTGACGTCGCAATAGCCGCTTGTGCCATTCTAGGTGCACTTCGTGGTCACGTATATACGTGTGAGCACATAAACATAGCCCCGATAGAAGTAATAAAAACAGACTGTTGGGGCAGCTGCTGTGAGCGAGCACCCAAGAATGGTCTATAGACAAAGACCTCCCCCCTACACATAGGCTGGTGGAGAAAGTACGATGAGCGGACACCTATGAAGGCCGACACCGCACACGGGGGGGGGGAGGTGGTGTGGCCAGCACCATCAGCCCCGGCCTCCTTCGTCCCCCCCCAATGTTGATGTCAACACAGCGCACTAGGTACTCATTTAAGGCTGAATCGACCGAAGAGGGGGCGTCCCAAGACCGGTTCAAACTCTCCGCCAGCGACGTTGGAGTCGTGAGTATAGAATCGAACTCGGGTCGCCGAGTTCGTAGCGTCAACGCGCCAAAACCACCGCTCCCCGTACTTATGAATTACATGTACAAACACACGCGCGCGCGCGCGTGTACGCACATACGTGCACACATTCCTTACGAGGGCGCGCACGAAATGCCGGATTTCCACGCAGCCGCGCGTACACTCGCGTAGGTTTACCCCACGTGCGTTTGCCGAGTCTCCTCGAAGTGCGCGACGCGACGCTCGCTCGTACCTGCGGCTCCGGCCATGGGTAGAGTGGACGCGTAGTATTTGTCGGGCGAGTAGGTCGGGGCGAGCGCTCCGTGCGCGGAGATGCGGGCCGCGCGGTAGGCGTGCAGCGGCGGTGGCGGAGGAGGCTGCGGAGGAGGAGGCGCAAGCCCCAGCGAGTGATGGTGCGCGTGGTGATGCGAGTGATGGTGCTGCTGGCTCAGAGCAGCCGCTTGATGCTGCGAGCCGCTCAGAGAGCCGCCGCTCGTCTCGCGCTGCAGTAACGGAGGCGGCGGAGGAGGAGGCGGAGGAGGCGGCGGAGGTGGCGGTGCTTGAGACGATGCCCCTGCCGCTGCTTGGATGGAGTGGTTAAAATCGCGGGCGTCCATGGCCGTCGTCCGTTGCGGTGTCTTCCTCGGTTGCCACGACCACCGCCACCACTACCACCACCACCACAACCCTCCAGCGGTAGCAGCAGTAGTGCGGTCAGCTCCGTCCGACCGCGCTGGTAGCGAAGCGGACGGCGGCAATGGGGATCGGCGTCGCCTCTACGGGGCACTTTCCTCGAATACTCCCCGAGAAGTCATTGTGCAGGGGGGGGGGGGGGTTTGGCGGCGACGCGACCGTGTTGAGCTGCAAAGTGATACGAATGGGCACAAGTCACACACTCACACATACACAACACACACTCACACAACACACACGTACACAACTCACACAACACACACGTATTCACTCGCACTCACTGGAGCCTACCGCTTAAAGCCTCCCCGCCGCATTCCCCTCCGTGTGTGTGGGCGCGTTGTATATGTGGGGGAGCGGTAGCGCGCCGCGCTACGAACCTGGAACCTGGCGGCCCGAGTTCGATTCCCGTTCACGGCCAGCACCGGTGAAGATTATCTGAACCGGTCCTGGGCCTCCCCTAGGTCGACTCAGCCTCAAATGAGATCCTGGTGCGTTGCGTAAAAACATCGCCACTGGGAAGACAAAGGCGACCGGGCGTGATGCTGGCCACCCACCCCCTCGTGTGCCGTTCTGACCTTCATAGGTGCTCGCAAGCAGCACTTGCCCCAGCAGTCTGTTAACGCTATACCGGGGATCTTTGTATTTGTATTTTTCTATATGTGTATACTTATACATCTGCGTGTCTTCTCTCTCGCTAACAGCACTCGCCCCAACAACAGTCGATGCAGCCGACACGGGGACCTGTGTCTGTGTCTTCATGTGTGTGGTGTGTATGTGTCCACAAGGGTCTGTGTGGTGTGTTCTGGACATGTACGGCATTAATAGGTGCTCGCTAACAGCCTTGCCGTGGCCACCCGTGTCGACTCCACGGTGGATCTCCCCTTCGTCTGTGGTGCGTGTATCTAGCGGTGCGGTGTGTGTCTATGCGCGTGTGTAATGTCTATAGGTGTCTGTATAAGTGTCCATACATGCAGCCTTAACGGCCTGTTGGGGCAAGTGCTGTTAGCGAGCACCTATGAAGGTCGGCAGGGGGGGTGGGTGGCCAGCACCACGCCCGGCCGCCTTTGTCTCCCCAGTGGCGATGTTTCTACACCGCACCAGGTACTCATGTGAGGCTGAGTCGACCTAGGGGAGGTCCAGGACCGGTTCAGATAATCGTCACCGATGTTGGCCGTGAGCGGGGAATCAAACTCGTGTCGCCGGGCTCGTAGCGCGGCGCGCTAACCTCTACACCACCGCTCCCCGACATACACACACGGGCAATGTTGTGGTTCTCATCTTATAAGCCGCCCCTCTGTGTGTGTGTCTCTCGGTGAGCGCGTGTTTGCGCCTACAGGGTTGTCTGCGCGTTTGCTCGAGACTGTCCACTTGTGAGTCCGTCTATGTACACGTGTGTCTGTATACATACATTATACGTAGGCAGGGGCAGTGTTGGCGGTCGGCAAGCTTATGAGCTGCCCCCGTGTTTTAGCTCTCACTGAAGGGCGAGAGCACCCCGTGGGCCTTGATTGCATTAGGCATATGCACGCACGAGCCGAATATAAAACAAGGCAATCACGTTTCCAACGATTTTACCCCGTCTCTCTGTACCCACCCCCCTCCCCTATGCTTTAGCCTGTGCGGCTTTGTGTGTCTATAGGTGTGCGTGGCTATATGGGATGTGTTTGTGTGTTTGTATGTGTGTGTGTGTATGTCTACAGGGATGCGTTTGTGGTGTATGTGTAGCTATAGGTGATTTGTGTCGTTCTCTCCATGTCTGTGAGTGAGTGTGTGTGGGGAGCGGTCATATCGTGGTAAGCGCGCTGCGCTACGAACCCGGCGACCCAAGATCGATACCCGCTCACGGCCAACACCAGTGACGATTATCTGAACCGGGCCTGAGCCTCCTCTAGGTCGACTCAGTCTCAAATGAGTACCTGATGCGATGGGGAAAAATCGCTACTGGGGAAACAAAGGCGGTCCGAGCGTGGCGCTGACCACTCACCCCCTCGTGTACCGTGACGGCCTTCGAAGGTGGTCGCTAACAGCACTTGCCCCAAAAGTACGCTTAGGTAATACGAGGGTTGGGGGAGCTTTGTCTGTGGGGAAGGGCAGTCTAGTGGTTAGCGCGCTACGCTACGAATCCGGCGACCCAAGATCGATTCCTGCTCGCGGGCCAAAACCGGTGACGAACATTTGAACCGGTCCTGGACCTCCTCTAGGTCGGCTCAGCCTCAAACGAGCACCTGGTACAATGTGTAAACATCGCTATTGGGGAGATACAAGCCGCTGGGCGTGGTGCTGGCCACCCACCCCCTCGTGTGCCGTACCGACCTTTATAGGTACTCGCTAACAGCACTTGCCCCAACAGTCTGTTACGGCTATATAGGGGATCTTTGCCCTTCTTTATGGCGTGTATGTAATGTGTGTGTATTTGGCGATGTGTGTGTGTATGGGTGTATGGTGCTCGCTAACAACATTTGCCCCAACAGTCTCTTAATGCTATGCGAGGGATGTTTGTATATGTATGCTATGTGTGTGTGTAACTATGTGCCTATTGGGGCGTGTCTGTATGTGTACGCGTCTATATGAGTGTAGGTGTGTGTCTGTATGAGTGTTTACGTGTGTTGTTATGCATGTGTATCCATATAAGCACGTGCGGTGTGTGTGTGTGGTGTACGCGTCTCTATAATGTTGTGTTGGTGTCTTTGTCTTCGTGTGTCAGTGTGCGCAGGTGCTCGCGAACAGCACTTGCTCCCACTGATCATTGCCTCTGTGCGTTGTCAAAAACCTCCCTTTAATAACGCCACCAGTTCTGTTGTTGTTGTTGCTGCTGTTGTTGTAGTGGGGAGGCGAAGGATGTTGCGCGACTCTGACTCGCACGCGGAGTGAGCGTGTGTGTGTGGGTGGCGTGAACGTTCAGCTCAACTCACAAAGACCAAGGTTTCCCCCCTGGTAGCCTCAACAGACTGTAGGGGCAAGTGCTGTTAGCGAGCACCTATTAAGGCCGGCACGGGCACACGAGGGGGTTGGGGGGAGGGTTGTTTCCCGAGTGGCGCGATGTTTACAAATCGCACTGCCTTACTCGTTTGAGGCCGAGTCGATGGGTTTCGGATAATCGTCGTTGGCCGCGAGCGGGAATCGAACTCGGTTCGTCGGCTTCGTAGCCACGGAGCCTTTGACCGCAGCGATCGAGCCGGACTTGACGAAGTCAGTGTGGCGGGACGAGGGGGGGGGGAATATAAGAACGGCAGAAGACACCATCAGCTTCGGACGGCTACAGCTGACGGATTCTCATGGCTGCGTGCACAGCGCCCGTAACTCTAAAGAGAGACCAGCGGCGGATGCAACGGTATTATGATGGCCAAACGTTTAACAACTTAGAAATGCGTTATTTAATAGAGAGAAAGAGAGGAGAGTGGGGGAATGGATGTGGGGGAGGGGGGTACGAGAGTACCGTGATGCTCGCGACGGGCAGAGGGCAGATGCCATCGCGACCGATTCGTTCAAAGCACCGACCGCGCACTCCGCAAGACACACGCGGCCGGGCTCAACGTGTACTAAGTTAACACACACACACCCACCCCCTGCCTTGCATAGTACTTTATCGTGAAAACTATATTTAAAAAAATACATCTTACGTTCGTGCTTAGAGAGGGAGTCACTGCCCAGAACGAGCAGTGAACGGCACAGATGCTGCCCCTGCCCAGACAACAGCGCCCGACTCACCATCTCGCTCCCGACGCGGGCTCCTGGCCCATACATACCTCCTGGCATCGATCTACCTTCGAGTCCATACCTTCTGGCATTTACCTCCAAGTCCATATCTCCTGACCAAAACCTCACAGCAACTACCCCATAGTCCATACCTCCTGGCGTCTACCTCCGAGACCACATCTCCGAGCGAATACCTCTTAGCATCCATCTCCGAGCCCATGTCTCCTGGCCCATAACTCCTAGCCCATAACTTCTAACATCTACCTCCGAGCCCTACATCACAGGTCACACGTCGCAGCATCCACCTCCTTAGCCAGACCCTTAGCACGTATCTCCCAGCCCATACCTCCTAGCCCACACGTCCTAGCCCAGACCCCCTAATCATTTACCTCCTAGCCTAAACCTCCGAGCAACTACCTCCTAACCCATACATCGTAGCGACTACCTCCTCGCCTATACCTTCGAGCGTCTACCTCGCACCATCCCAAACTTTATTCCGCCAATTCCCTCCAGCACGTCCGAGTCTATACCATTGCCCCGTACCTCCCAGCACATACCTTCTTGCTTCCACCACCTCCCTCCTAGCCCATACCTCCCGCAGCACGCGCTCCTTGGCGTCCACCTGCGTGGCAGGTTTGCCCGCCTCCTACTTGCTACCTGGGCTGCCTCGTGACGCCGATGCCTGGGCACCGGCGTGTTCCGCACGTGGAACAAGTCGGCGCCCAGGTGAGCGGGCGAAAAGGGACGACGGCAAAGTCGCCGGGCATTGCGGTCGCCGCTGTGTGTGGCGGACGAAGCGATCTTCTTCTGTGTGGTTTTGTTGTTGTGTTTTTGGCGTTTTCTCGATAGCGGTGTCTGGGTCTCGCATTCCGCGAAACGTTCTGTTCGCGTTCCGTCGTTACGATGATTGTCATTAACGGCGGTGGTTGTGGTACTCGTCGATGTGGTGGTGGTGCCGGTGGTTGCGGTTGTTGGCATGCATCGGCAAATCTCGTGTTTGCATCGCGTCTCGGTAGCAGCGACACAAGACGCGCGCACGGTTATGGGACGAGTTCGAGTCCGTGGCACGCGGTAGATGATGTGAAAAGTCGAATCGTCTCGGCGTGTGTGTGTGTGTTGTGTGTGTCTGTGTCGAATCATTTCTGCGTGTGCCTGTACTTTCTGCGTCCACGTGTGCTGTGTTCTCCGTGTGTCTAGTATGCGCATCCCCGTTGTGTTCCCTGCGCGTTTGTGTCTCGGCGTGCCTCTTTGCGTATTGTGCATGTGCGTTGCGTATGCTGTCCGCATGTTTTCGCATAGGTTACGTCTGCGTGCTATGCCTTTGCGTTGCGTGAGTCTCAGTGCCTGTCTTAGATACACTGGGCACTTGCGTGTCGTCGCTATACTGCGTACGCGCGCGTTGCGCCTGTGCGCTCCATCTCGCTCATGCCCGTGTGCTGTGACCATGCGATACACGTTCACTTTATATATACATAGTGCCCGTGTTAATCCCGTATATTGTATAGGTGCGTTCTCTTTGTGCGTTGTGTCTACGTGCCGTGGTTATGCTGCTGTTGTGTTGTGGCAAAATGTCTTTCGGCCCGATCTCTATTCCTGTGCTGTCTGTGTCTTTGATTGTGTCCCTGCGATGTGTACGCGTCCGTCTGTCCATTCGTAGCCTCTATGCGTTTCTCTTTTGTTTCGTACTCACGCAGTTACAATCGACGTACGGTGCCCCCTGTGTGTGCGTGTGTGTCGTGCCTTCGTGCCGTCGCGATGTGTTGTGTCGATGCGTGTTGTCGTCTTTATACGACCCCTGCCTAGTATCCAACGCCTCTCTGTTACAGGCATGTGCAACGTCCCTGTCTTTTGTCTGTCTATATATCGTCACTGTCTCGTGTGTTTACGATCTATGCGTTGCGTCGATGCTATCCTTATGCACTGTGGTACTTACGTGTTTTTTTTTCGTATGAGAGTGCCCCCATATGCGACGCACGTGTACCCTGCCTGCAAGTTGTGTTCCATGCGCGTTGTGCCTGCTGCTGTCGCTATGGGGCTACATCGTGCTCATATGCGGATCCGTACTGTGTGTGTCGTGCCTGTGCTGTCCGTCTTGCGTGGCTGTGTTGCGTCTATACTTGTGCCTATGTACTGTTGTGTCTGTGTGGTTTGTCTACATCGTTGCGATGCTGTTTACTCCCGTACCGTGTCTATACGTTGGTCGCCGTGTCTCTCTATCGCGTGAAATCCCGTTTTTGCCTCGTGCTGACACTCTCACTGTATTGTGTCTCTGTATGTTCCTCCAGTGTTGTGCCCATGTGCTCTGTCTGCATACTATGCATATGCGCTGTGTATGCTGTGTCTATATGCTGTGTCGCTATCATATACATTGCGCTTATACGGTCTGCCTACCATTCCCCCGTGTCTATGACTCGCCTCGTGCTATCGCCCTTACGCATGGCCTATCGTATGCCCACTCGTTTGTGTGTCTTATACACCCTACACGTTATGTACCCAACACATGTGCGGCCCATGTTGTGTGTACGAGCTGTACCCGTGTCGCCGCGTATACATTATGCATGGGGCTATATTGTCGCAATGTGCCGTCTCTATCCGTTTACTGTCTTCAGAACGTCGCTATTCGTGGTGTACTTCATGTCTATGCGCCATTGTATATCTACACGTGTGTGTGTCTACATCGTCCCAACGATCAGGCATCGTGTCGCTCCGCAGTTGTGCTGCCTATGCGTCGTGCCTCTCCGTGCCACGGATGCACGTTGTGCCCATGCGTTGTGTAACCGTGCTGTGTATGGCCATGCACGTGATCAGTCTTCTTTGCACTGGGTCCAACAACGAAGCTTTGTGCGTTGTGCCCAATGCGATCTGATCTGCGTTGCGCGTTCTATCTTTTTTGTTTGTTTTTGACGGCTCCTCGATCCACCGTCTCAGTGTGTTTTTTTGCAGCATTCATAACGGGTTCACGCCGCGTCCGCGTTGTGTCTATGTGCATCGTCCCGTGTGCGTGGTGTTGTGTCCCTTTAATGTATGCAACGTGTATACTGCACAACGAAGCGTGTGACCATTCTAGCCACGGAGGGTCTCGACAGTGACACGCTGCCTGTGCTGTCTCGCAAATCTTTACCAACTCGACGAATCTTCCACGCGTACATCGGTCACGCACTTTATAGACATCGGCCCTTTGCTGTGTGTGCGAGTATGTTGAATGTAAACCTCGACCTCGTGGTGTCTCGTGTCTCTCCTGCCCTGACAACTCGCCTCCGATGAGCACGATTGGCCACGTCCGGTATGAAAGAAGTTCAACATACGTCTCTAGATGATATCGGTTGTGCGCATACGCAACGTCTGCTTGTGCTGACCCTCCAGTTTCATTATTATATACGCACTTCATACATCGTTAAGGCGTTCTGATCATGTGGCGTTCAGTGTGCTTATGCCTTGCTGCATCCAAACACCGTCTGCGTGTTCGGGTTAGTGTCTGTGCATGGCCCATGTGTTGTTGGCTTGCGTATCCGTCTGTAGGTCGTGCCTATAGCTCGTTCCCTATGTTTTGTATGTGCAGCTTTCGTCTATGCTATGTATTGTCTACACGTCGGCCCTTAGGTGTTGTGTATCTTGTATCTCTGTTCGTTATGTCTGTGGATCGTCCACGTGTAGTGTCTCGGTTGTGTGCCTACTCTCTTCGGCGTAACCGTGTTCTGCGTGTATATTGGCACATACGCATCGCCCGTGTGCCTCTCCGTCGTCAGTGTGCCGTGTCTTTGTAGTTGTACCTGCGGTATACACAGTGCGAGTGTGTTGCGTCGTGTTCATTGTCCGTCTCTCTCTCTCCTTTGTGTACGTTGTGTACGTTGTGTCTGCACTCGTCCAGCTCGCATCGTGCCTATACGGCGCGTTGACTCCATTCGCGACATCTCTGTTGTTATCATCCATGCGTCGTCGTCATTGTTGCTGTGTATCCTAGTTTTCAGCAAAGCGATGCATCGTCCCTATGCGTTGTGTATGTGTGTGTGTACCTTGTGCATATCGGCCACGTATAAAGTAAACCTCTATGCACAGTTCCAACCGTTATCTTTGTGTCCGTGTAACACCGCCACCCCACCCCAACCCATTATGAACCTACTCCCCCGTTCATCCCTGCGCTCTGTTGGCCGCGCGAATCTCCTCCAACCGACCGGCGACCAAACGGGATCCGCGGGGGTCGAATCAGTGGCGGCGGAGTGCGAGAGACGGCGGAGAGCGAGAGACGGCGGCGGCTGCGGCGGCGGCGCGCAGGTCGAGGGGGTACGGGACAGAGGACAGAGTCGGCTCCGGCTCGCCGGGTTCAGGAGCCCGGCGATAGCAGCGACTCGTTTCGGCGAACGGAGGTCGCCAGGAGTCGGTGGCAACCTCAGCTCGACCGCAAACCCCGCGCCACATCAAAGCGCGCGACCAAACTCTTCCACCCCCCCCTCCTCCTCTCTCTCTTTCTCTCCTCTCTCTTTCTCTCCTCTCTCTCCTCTTTCTCGTGCGTGTGCCCACATCAACTGCACGACCGCGTTCGATTTGGTAGAATCGGTCCCGAGTGTTGGGTTGTTTTATTTCATTTTTGTTGTTGTTGTCGTCCGTTCGTGCGTGTGTGCGTGTGCTAACTACGATTTGAGTCGGTCTACGAGAATGAAGAATCGGTCGAATGAACCCCTCCATGGGAAGGGAGGCTCGCATACAGCAGTGAGTTTAACGTGGAGGATGGTGAGTAAACCGGTGGAACTGTCGTCTGCGTGGTGTTTGACTTAACGTTAAATATGCACTACCTCGTGTTAACACACAAAGACAAAGACCACCCCCCCGTATAGCCTTAACAGACTGTTGGGGCAAGTGGTGTTAGCGAGCGCCTATGAAGGCCGGCACGGCACACGAGGGGCTGGGTGGCCAGCACCACGCGCACGTCTCTCTCCGTGTCTCGCCATGGCTCCCACGAACCCTCCTCTCATTCTTCCCTCCGTGCGTCTCCCCGTGCCTCCTGACTGCTCCCGTCTAACAGCGACGTGTGTGTGTGCGCGCGCGTGTGTGTGTGCAAATGGAATAAAAAGGAAAAACGTTCTTACCGGTCGGTTAAGGTTTGCCCTTATTTATCCGCAATAGGTTCGAGTCTTCGAGTCGGCGCCTGGAGATCGATATACATCCAAATGCCTCCTTCTCCGTGCATCATCACAACCATTTTAGACATAAATATTAATTCTTCAGGCCGATATCAAATCCTCCTGCTTCGCCTTTTCATTTTTTTCGATAAATTAGCGTCTCTTTTTTGTTTTTTTACTTTGCTTCAGCGACGCAACGATGCGAATCGAAGTCGACGAGACGGCAGGCGCGGTGGCAGAAGTGGTGCTGATGATGATGATGTTCGTGGTGGTACAGCTACCGATGTCCGGTAGGCAGGAGGAGGAGGGGGGATAACGAGGTAAAGCTGTTGAATTTTGTTTTGTTTAATGACAAAATCTCTGTACAGTCTGCCGATTCCTCTCCTCCGATCGCACCGGAGTCGTGGAAGATTCCGCAAGGTGCCCCGCTTTCATGAGAGAAAGAAGGGGTGGGTGGGGGAAGGAAAAAAAACTCCGCTCGATGTATGTACATATATCTATATGTAGGTATATATAGAACTATATATATTATGGAGTGGTAGGCAAGGCGGGCGGTCGTGCGGGCAGGCCAGTCACATCTGACTCGCAAGACGCCAGCCGAAGAGGTTAGTCAAATCGCAAGTCTTGCTTCTACATCTGGCACATATCTCTCTCCTCCTGCTGCTGCTGCTCCTCTCACGTCCCGTTCTCTCCTCCTCCTCCTCTTCTCTCTCTCCCCCTCTCCCCCAGTCTCTCTCTCTGGCTGGCTGGGGCTACGTGGAAGAGGCGAGCGCCACACAACGTACGACGGCGTCGGCTGTGCGCTCTCTACAGATTGTACTTTCCCGTCAGTCGCTCGAGCCCGAGCCCTTGCCTTGAATGCTGGAATAGTTTTTTTTTTGTTGTGTTGTCGCGCCTGCTTGTTGGAACAATGGAGGTGGGGGGAGGGGCGCGGATGTTGAGGATAGGGAGGGGGGAGGGGTGCGCATGTGAGTGGGGGGTAGGAGGAGGAGGAGGGGGGTGGTTGTTCGAGGGGGGGGGAAGGGTGGCTGCGAGCGTGGGTGGGGTGGGGGTGCAGTGCGGAAAGGGGGTGGGGGGGGGTGATGGGCCGAGGGGGAGGGGTGGGGATAGAGGAGGGGGTGGGGGCTTGCATGCTTAACGCTGTCCATCAGACTATGTAAACACGCCTCTGATTGGCTGCTGGCCAGAGCAGTCAGCCTGCGCCGTCGCGGCCGCCGTTTCAAGGCGCCCCAAACTATTAAAGGCCGTTTCCAGGGGCGCCTTGCAAGCAAGAGCCCTACCCCCCAACCCCAGCCTCGACATCCCCCCTCTTCTTTGCGGGCGCCGTTTCCAGGCGCGCCCCCCCCCCACCACCGGCGCTGGCCGTGTCAAGGCGGCCCATCCAGCCCCGTCAGCCCTTCCCCTGCTACACAAGGTCCGCTCTCAAAGCCTCGTCCCTTCCCCCCCCCCGTCTCCACGAGCGCGCAGACGCGCGGACGCACGGACACACGCACAGTCGTACGGATAGGAAAACGAGGCCAAGCGGTCAAAGAATGAGATGGCGGGAAGCTCCCTCGCTCGCTCGCTCTTCTCTGGAGCTGCGAGCGACGCGGGGGGGGCAGAGTGCGTGAATGAGCGCGGGCGGCGGAGATGGTGGTGCAGAGTGGGACGGGGTGGAAGAGAGAGAGAGAGAGTGGGATGTGTGATGGAGGGCTGCGCGTGTGTGTGTGTATGCGTGTGTGTGTGTATATGCGTGTGTGTGTATATGCGTGTGTGTGTGTAGGTGCGCGCGTGTGGGGGAACGGTGGCGTGGCGGTTAGCGCGTTGCGTTGCTTCGAACCCTTGGCACACCCGGGTTCGATTATCGTTCACGGCCAACACCGGTGACGATTTGTCTCAACCGGTCCTGGGCGTCCCCTAGGTCGGTTCAGCCTCAATTCAGTGCCCGGTGCGGCGCGTAAACGTCGCCACTTGCGAGATAAAGGCGGCCGGGCGTGGTGTCGGCCACAACACCCCCGTCGTGTACCACGTGGACCTTCATAGGTGCTACTCGCTAAAGAGTACTTGCCCTGAGAGTCGGTTAAGACTACGCGGGAGATCTTTGTCTTTGTAGCGAGGCGAGTGGGTGGTGGTTGTGGAAACTGCTGGGAATGGGGAAGAGCCGTGGGTTAGATTATCTCGTGTGCGTGTTTCGGTGTGTGTCGGTGTGTGTATGTGTGTCGGTGTGTGTATGTGTGTCGGTGTGTGTATATGTGTCGGTGTGTGTATGTGTGTGTGCGTTTGTCGGTGTGTGTATGTGTGTATGTATGTGTCGGTGTGTGTGTATATGTGTCGGTGTGTCTATGTGTGTCGGTGTGTGTATATGTGTCGGTGTGTGTATGTGTGTGTGCGTTTGTCGGTGTGTGTATGTGTGTATGTATGTGTCGGTGTGTGTGTATATGTGTCGGTGTGTCTATGTGTGTCGGTGTGTATATATGTGTCGGTGTGTGTGTATATGTGTCGGTGTGTGTATGTGTGTCGGTGTGTGTATGTGTGTCGGTGTGTGTGCGTATGTCGGTGTGGGGAGCGGCAGTCTAGCGGTTAGCGCGCTGCGTTACGAACCTGGCAACCCGAGTTCGATTCCCGCTCACGTCCAACACCATAAGTGACGATTAATTGAACCGGTGCTGGGCCTTCCCTAGGTCGACTCAGCCACAAATGAGTAACGCCGCTAAGGATACAAAGGCGGCCGGGCGTGGTGTTGGCCACTCGCCCTCTCGTGTGCCGTGCCATTCTTCATGAGCGCTCGCTAACAGCACTTGCTCCAACAGTCTGTTAAGGCTATATGGGGGATCTTTGTCTTAGTTTGTTTTGTGTGGGGAGCGGCAGTGCGCTACGAACCACCGCCAGTGACGATTATCTGAACTGCTCCTGAGCCTCCCCTAGGTCGACTCAGCCTCAAACGAGTAAACCGGTGAGATGTTTAAACATTGCGAAAAGGGAGACAAATGTGGCCGGGCGTGGTGTCGGCCTACCACCCCTCCTCGTGTGCCCTTCCGACCTTCATAGGCGCTCGCGAACAGCAATGTTCCTAACAGCGTTGTGTAGCTACCATACCTTTATACGGGGGATCTTTGTCTGTTTTGTATGTGCGGTGCGTGAATCCGCGTGTGTGTGATCGTGGGAGCTGCTGCTGCTGCATATGAGAGAAGAGACGCGTCGGTGCAGGGGTGGTGGTATTGCGTGCGTGTCGCGTGTGCGGAGAGCGGTTATCGCACTGCCCAACAAAATCAGAATCTGTGTTTATCCTGGAGAAATGCGAGTTAGATTCGCGCTCACGGCCAACACCAGTGACGATTATCAGGACCGGTTCCTGTGCCTCCTCTAGGTTATCTCAGCCGGAAATGATGACCTGGTGCGTGGCCGAGCGTGGTGGTGCTGACCTATAGCAACCGTCCCTCGTGTGCCGTGGGGTTCCGGCCTTCGTGTAAGGTGCGCACTTCCAGAACTTGGCCCAATAGCCTGTTCATGCTATACGGGGGATCTTTGTCTTGTGTGTAGAGGCGGTGGTGCCGCGTTAGCGCACTGCACCACGAACCCGAGCCAAGCGAGTTCGATGCAGTGCCAAGTGATGTCGGCGATTGTGCTGGGCTTCCCATATGTCGACTCAGCCTTATATTAGTACCTGCTACGACGTGCAAATATCAGCCACTGGGGAGATAAAGACGGCGGGGCGGTGTGTGTGTGTTTTTTTTATTCATGGGAGCGTTTGAATCTATACGCTCACGTGAATGCGTGTAGATTGCATGTAGTATATACGTTCGTGTGTGTGAGTGTGGTGTGGGGAGCGGTGGTGCAGCGGTTAGCGCTACGCTGCTCTACAAACCCGGCGACCCGAGTTCGATTCCCGCTCACGGCCAACGCCAGGGACGATTATCTGAACCGGTCCTGGGCCTCCCCTAGGTCGACTCAGCCTCAAATGAGTACCTGGTGCGGTGTGTAGTAAACATCGCCACTGGGGAGACAAAGGCGGTCGAGCGTGGTGCTGACCACCCCCCTCGTGTACCGTTCCGGCCTTCATAGGTGCTCGCTAACAGCACTTGCCCCGACGGTTTGTTAAAGCTATCGGGGTGGGTGGGGATCTTTGTCTTTGGTGTGGGTATCTCGCCGAGGCGGACTCGGCAGGCGACCTTCAAATGTGCTCGCGAACAGCACTTGCCCCAACAGTCTGTTGAGGCTATCCGTCGTGGGGGAGTGGGGGGGGGGGGGGTTGGAACTTTGTCTTTGGTGTGGGTAGCGCGCCTAGGCGGACTCGACATCTCCACTGGAGAGACAAAGGCGGCATCACCGCCCCCTCTCCTCGTACGCCGTCCGACAGCATCGGCCCCAACAGTTCTGTAAGACTATACGGGGGATCTTTGTCTGTGGTGGAGTGGAAACTGTTGGAATCGTGTTGTGTACTAATGCACAACAAGTACTCTCCCGGCGGTTATTTATTTATATTGTTTGACCATACTTAACATGCAGTGCGGGTTAATGAATATAGCAGAGACGTGGGGAGGGGGGGGGGCAGTATGAGTACAGTACAACCATGTTCCGTGCTGCCCTTCCCCTCTAAGCCCAACACGACAGTCCCGTCGCCAATAACCATCCTCTGTGCAAGGTGGTGGTCGCTCATCCAAGCCCGAGCCAGGCTCAACCCGGCTTAGCTCACGATCTGTGCATCCCGGCTTTATTCGGCAGACAGGCGCGTCCTTGCGTGTCCATCTGGCCGGGTGGCCGCCGTTCGCAATGCTCGCGAGTTTACATCCTGGTTGGGGAATGACTCGGCTCGGCTCATCATCCCTCCCGGGGTCGATAAAATTTGAGTACGGTGCCGCCGTTTGGGGAAATCAAGCGGTTGTCCTCTGAATGGAGCCACTCGCGCCAGAGGAATGTGGGGGTTGTTTGACCACACCTCGCCTACGCTGCTCGTTGAAGGCGACGTGGGGGGGGGGGGGGTCATTTACGTGGGAGCATGGAAGTATAATACAACAATGGATATTTTGCTGCACTGCCTTCTACTGCCCGTAACGCCTATCAAACATGTTTTATGCACGATGGTTAAACCCTTCCAATCAATATTATCCAGGCTTCAAAAAAATCCTGCTTGGCTTCCGACATCTGGCCGTGATGGGACGCATTGCGGGTGATTTGGTGATTTGGTGAGCGGTGATGCTAGGTGATTGCGAATGGCACTTTCGCCAACGGACTGTAAGGTTATAGGAGAATATTTGTTTCTGCCTGTGGGTATGTATATATACGCATGCCCACGTGGGGAGCGGTGGTGAAACGGTTAGCGCGCTGCGCAGCGCACCCGACGACTCGGGTTCGATTCCCGCTCACAGCCAACACCCAGTGACGATTATCTGAATCGGTCCTGGGGCCTCCCCTAGGTCGACTCAACCTCAAATGAGTACCTGGTGGCGATGTTTAAACGTCGCCCGCTGTGGAGACAAAGGCGACCGGGCGTGGGTTCCGGCCGCGCGCTAACAGCACCTGCCCCAACAGTCCGTGAATTATCTGCGGGGGATCTTTGTCTCTGTATGTATGCATGCGCGTGCGTGCGTGCGTGAATGATTGAGTGAAAGTGCTGGGAATGGAAGAGAGGCGGAAATGGGGTTGTGGTAGGTGTGTGTATCTCTCACTACACGAGTGTGTGTGTGTGCTCGCTAACAGCACTTGCCCCAACAGTCTGTTAAGGCTATACGAGGGATCTTTGTCTTTGCACGGGTATGTAGCCTTTACCATATATATGTGATATGTACGTATCAGCACTTGCCCCAAAAACCTGTGTAGGCTATACAGAGGCGGGGGGAGGCATTGTCTTTGTATGAGTCATCTCCGGCCAACCTCGTCGCGTACACGGCTAACATCAGTGGCGTTTATTTTAACCGGTCATGGGCCTTGCATTGATACGCTGGTCCTT